CTAAGATAAATTTCTCTTTCTCTCTCTATAAGCTTTACTGGTTTTGCTTTTCTACAGAACCCAGCCTAACACAGAGAGCACCCACTTAGAAGACCAGCCAATATGACTATAAAATTAATCATCAATGAACATGTGACCGTATTAGGCTGGGTTCTCTAGAGAAGCAAAACCAGTAATGCTTATAGAGAGAGAGAGAGAGAGAGAGAGAGAGAAAGAGAAATTTATCTCAGGAAAACAGCTCACAGACTATCACAGTGGCCCAGCCTTCTCATTACATATAACATATCTTAAACTTTAGCTACTTATGTAAAAGGAAGCATCAGTACATGTGAATGGTTAGAGTGTCAGGGACATTGAATTGAGGAACTCCGGTATGATACAAATCTTCTTTTTGCTTCTCCTGATCCTCTCCTCAACTTTCCACCTTGCTCTGTGTCCCAGAAAGCTGGCACACATGGTTTCCTATTGGATTTGGCTAATAAAAGGCATTGGCAGAAGATTTGGAGGGTAGAAGGAGAGAGAGTTCAGAGTATTTATTCTACAGGCTCTTCTCTACCAGGCTGCCTCAGGAAGGCTGCATGTTCTTCCAAAGGCCACAGCTTCTGTCTGATGGCTTTCTCCCCACAGCTTTCTCTTGTCAGGTTCTGTAACCCTCCCTTCCATGTCCCATTAGAACTCGTAAGGAAATCTAGCAGTTATTTCCTCCATTTTGCTTTTCTTAAACCTTACCTGTAATTTTGTCAACAATTCTTTTATAAAACCTTTCTCAAATTCCCAACTTGAGTGTGTCATCTATTTTCTTCTAGAATCTTGATTGACACATACAGCAAAAAAGAGTTTGAGTTGCCTGAATATATTGACACTATTCCTTTGCAGATATTCTAGGTAAGACCTTGGTAGAACTTGGGAAATGAGTGAGTGAATACAGACTGTGACAATTTATGGATTGTATGGTTTTATGCCAATTTGTTCATTCAAAGCAAATACAAAGTGGGAGTAGAAGAGGACATCTTTCCTTTATGGAAAAGTTTTACATTTTTGTTTTTTATGTTTTTATTCTCTTTGTGCCATTTCCTTTAACTATACAGGCACTTCTGTGTTTAACCACTAAATGGTGAATTTCATAGCATTAGTTCTTTAATGTATTTCTCTACAAGATAGTCATACCTTTGGGTTTTCCCAGATGGCAGGGTTGTGGTGAAGACCCCAAATACTGAGAACCACATTCATTCCTAAAGGAGGAAATAAAAGAACTTGAGGAGAAAAAGCAAGTTGTGAGCTAATGTTATATTGCTCTTTAGCAAGCCTTTTCTTCTAGAAGGGAAAGCACTAGCTCCTGGCAGAACTCTATGTGTTGCAGCTGATGCCAGCAGTGAGAGGCTCATGGGCTTGGGTTGCTATCTTAATTTTCAAAGCAATGATTTATTTAATTCCTAACTCTATCTTAAGGAGCTATTGCCATCATGCCAAAGCGATATTGTGCTTATCTTTTCTGCTGTCTCTGGCAATTACTTAAAACACCTTTTAGTGGACTATAAAGTACTCACTGGAAATAGTTTGAGTACATAAGAACAGAACTGTAATCATGTGGATTAAGTGACAAATTTCTGTTGGTGCTGTTCATATAAGGAATATTTTAGCAAATAGTCATGTAAATTTTGGGGAAAAATAAAAGAAGAAAGAGAATTTGAAGATTATTTGGTTATCAGAAATAATTCTGGTAAAAGAATTCTAGACCTGTTAACAAAGTCACAATAGGTAACAGGCTGTGTTAGCTATAAGCAATCCTGTTTGCTTGTTTTCAAGGGCAAAACTTAATAGAACACTGAAGTAGACAAGAGAAAGGGTAATTCATGTGGCCTCTGCCTCCCACATGTCCTTCTCAGAGACCTGTGGTGTTCTGGCAAAAGCATTAGGCGCCAGTCACAGAATCTCTGAGTCAGTTCTAGCTCTGTTTATGTTAGTTAATCTCATCTGCACATTGAGTTTTCCTCAGTGGGTTTTTGGCTACATTGATATAATTTGAAAGTGCTTTGGAAAGGACTATTTTAAAAAAAATGAGATAATGTGGGTGATCTAATCTACCTAATCTATTCTATTAAGTGCTGCACACATCTAACCTATTAAGTGCTGCACACATGTAAGGGTGATATTATTACGATGATGACCCCATGGGTCTCCTAAATAAAGATAGTGGTTCTCATTTTCCATGAAATCTAACCTGGTTCTCAAATTCAGCCATAAAAATATTACCTTAGAGACAATATACCACAATGGAAAAGACCCTAGTCTGGGGTTCTGGAGACACAGGTTCCGTCTAGTTTTACTACAGTTGGCTATGTGTCTTTAGGAAAGTCTCTGAAACCCTTATCTGACCAAGGCATTACCAACTGAGCTCTAAATAGGTATACAACACTAACTCAGATAGCCTTAGCTTTATCTTCTGATTTCTCCAAGAGCAAGGAAAACCTGTCACTGTGGCTCCCAGGATCCCATGGTCTCTAGGAACTGCTTAGGAAAAGAATACAAAGACCTGTAGGCAAAGAACGTCCATCTGGGAAGGTAATGGGCTTGCTGAGTTCTCTGGAAATGGATGGGATTGGCGGGATCAATCGGAGCGCCTCCTTGATGCACATTGTGGTATATGACATCTTGCCCAGGTGGTCCCTGTGAGGATGACAGAGGGAGGGGAACTCAGACTTCATATCATGTTTGTAAATTTGATCAAATTTATGTCTGATGTTTGTTCCTAGGAAATTATCATCTTCAAGTTAAAGCTAGTTTGCTAACTAGTTTATGAAACAATATTAAAATGAGATTCTTTCTGCCTTAAGATCACTTGAAGTCCCAGAGGCAGAAGAACCAAGCAAGTGCTAAATGTCTTCACTATAAATTGAGATGCTGAACTACTGCTTTGCTAAGGAAATTTCTGAAAACCAGTCTTACAGCCTGTTATGGATTGAATTGGGTCCCCCCAAAACATGTCAACTTGGGTAGGCCATGATTCCCAGTATTGTGTTCTTGTCCTCCATTTTGTGCACACCATTGCTGAGGCACACCTTTTACCTTACAAGAGATAGAAGGAGAGATAAGCCAGTAGAGGAGAGGGATCTCACTACTACCAGGAAAGAAAAGCCACAAGTGGAGCATATGTTTTGGATCTGAAGTCCCTGCACTGAGAACATCCTAGACCCAGGGGAAGACTGATGCCAAGACATATGTAGATCTCCAAGGAATACCAGGAAGTTGAAGGGACACAAGAACATCCCTTGAGAGCAAACAGAGAGAGAAAACCTTGTCAGCTGGCACTCTGAATTTAGATTTCTAGCCTCCTAAACTGTGAGAAAATAAATTTCTGTTTGTTAAAGCCATTATTTTTGGTATTGCTGTTACAGCAGCACTAGATAACTAAGAGAAAGGAAGTGAGGTGCTTCTCTAACAGAGACCTAAAATGTGGAAATATTTTTGGAACTGGGTAATGGGTAGAGGTTAGAAGAGCTTTAAGGTGCCTAAAAGTAAAAGCTTAGATTTCCTTGAAGAGACTGTTGGTAGAATTATGGATGTCAAAGTGCTCAGAAGCAAGCGAGGAGAGCCACAGAAAAAGTCACTGTCACCTTAAAGAATACATATGGCACCAGCAACAGAACGTTGCTAGGAAATGTGGACATTAAATGTGCTTCTGGTGAGACTTTAAAAGAAAATTATGTACATGTTATTGGACAATGGAGGAAGGGCAATGTTTTCATGCAGTGGCAAAGAACTTATCTGATTTATATTCAAATGTATGGTGTAAGGCAGAATTTATAAGTGATGAACTTGGGTATCTAGCTGAAGAGATTTCTAAGCAAGATCTTAAAGGGGCCACATAGTTTCTTCTTGCTACTTATAGCAAAATGCAAGAGGAAAGAGATAGATTTAAAAATGAATTAGGTGAAATAAAAACAGTACTTAAAGTTTCTGTTGAACAAAATAAGGACATGTGTCCTAGAATGTTCTCCAAAGACATAGCTACACAATCTTCTATTAAAGAGATTAAGCCTGTGACTGATGAGTCTAATTAACTACCATAGCAGAAAACCCATCAGCTTAGACTGAAGGGGACAGAGAAAGAACGAAAGAAAAGAATGCTGTCTGTCTCTTGGAATTCTATTGTGAGGGAACAAGCCAAAGGAGCTACATTTGTTGTCCTCCAAGAATAGAAAAAGACTATTGCTAGAGCTCAGAGATCAGCAGAATTGTTGAAAAGAAGCACGGGAGGCAGGATCTTCTTGGCTTCAAGGGGTGGGGACTTTGTCTTCTGGATGTCAAAGGGTGGGCCCACAGTTTCCTTAGTTTCAAAGAATCAGATCTTTGTCAACTCATTTTTGGAGTGTAGGACTACTTCTAAGTTGTGCTGGGGGTGTGGGCTGCTGCCCAAAGCTGATGGGGTGGGGCTGCCATGCACAAGGGGGAGAAAATGGGGCTGAGGGGGTGGGGTCACCACTCAGATGGACTGGAAGAATGGGGGCACTTAAAGCCAAGGGGGCAGAGTTGCCATCCCAGAGGGCTTAGAAGGCAAGCTGAAGCCCAGAGCTGGGAAGCCTCCACCCAGGATCCAGAGAGCATGGCAAACACCCATATTCTAGAGGGTAGATCCATTGCCTAGATTGTCTCAGAGAACAAAGTATTATTTTCAGGACTTGAGAGCTAATGTAAATTGTTCTGGTGGGTTTTGGACTCATTTGGTGTCCAACACTTTCCCTACAACTTTCCCTACAACTTTTCCTTTTGTAATGGAAATGTATGCATTCCCACCATTGTACTTTGGAAACAGATAACCTGTAGTTCAAATTTCACAGGTTCACAGATGAAGAGGAATTTTGCCCAAGGAAGTTATATGCCTAGTCTCACCCATATTTGATTTAAGTGATTTAGAAATTGAGATTTTTAGACTTGGAGTTGATATAAGACTTTGGAGATGATGATGAGATGAGTATGTTTTACACGTGGCAAGGACATGGATTTTTGAAATGTCATGGACTGAGTTGTGTTTCTCAAATATGTATCAACTTGGCTTGGCCATGATTTCCAGTACTGTGTGGTTGTCCTCCATTTTGTGCACATCTTTGCTTGAGATAAAAGGAGAGAGAAGCCAGGAGAGAAGAGAGGGACTTCACTACTACCAAGAAAGAAGAGATGGGAGCAGAGTGCATTCTTTGCACTCAGGGTCCCTGTACTGAGAACCTCTTAGATACAGGGGAAAACTAATGCCAAGACACAAGGAGATCTTCAAGGAGTGGTGGACCCACAGATGTTGAAAGGAGACAAGGCTTTCCTTCAGAGCTAATAAAGAGAGAAAGGCTTTTCCTAGACCCTGTGTTTTGAATTCAAATGTCTAGCATCATAAACTGTGAGAAAATAAATTTACGTTTATTAAAGCCATCCACTTGTGTTATATCTGTTATAGCAGTTTAGGATGTTAGAAGTCTGAATTCATCATGTAAATCAAGAATGTATAAGGAACAGCTAAGGAGTGAAGGGGGACATTGATGGTTCAGTGGTAGAATTCTCAACTTCTATGGAATAAACCCAGGTTTCATTCTCAACCAATACACTACATGAATGGCTAACATCTATCTATAAATGGAGGCTTGGGTGTTAATATGATGCTGAACAGGTTTTAGCAGAGCTTCTAGACTAAGACAGACTAGGAAGAAAAGCCTGGTAATATACTTTCCAAAGTCACCCAATGGAAAGCCTATGGATCAGAATAGCCCAATTCTCAATCAATCACGGGGATGTAACAAGACTGGGTAACAGGACAGCATTTTGTTCTATTGTGCATGGGGTTGCCATGGCCATGAATTGGGGGTGTCAATAGCAGCTAACAATGACAAGAATTGAATAAAGGAGGCTTAAGACTTTTGAGAAAGAGAGAGAAAAAATATATCCCTTTAACGAGAATTGCCGTAATGCTGGAGTGCCATGGAGAACAGAGGTGTCCTCACATCTTAAATAATGTCAAAGAGCTTCAAAAGGATTACTTAGATGAGCTGGTATGTCTTTGCTGGGGTTGAAGGCTCACTCAGACTGATATGAGAGGCAATAGTGAAGAACAGAGAGAGGTAGGACAGCACTAGGGGAGAGCATTCTTTTCCCAGGGGCAAGGTAAGAAATGTGCACATTTGTTCTTGGAGTCAATGAACTGGCAAGAGGGAGGGCTCCAGAGCCAGCTGGTAAAGGACTTTGTCTAAGGGAATGACCTGAAGAGACAAAGTTGCCAGTAGAGGGGAGTTAAAAGTGGCCACCAAATGAAACATCATTCATGTTCCAGGAGTCACCCTTGGAAGTTCCAGTGAGGGAATCTCTAAGTAACCTATAGAAGCTTGAGAGAATACATAAGCATTGACTATCTACTAAGCTCAGAGAGTGTTTTGGTCCCCTCGTGCTGCTTTGAGAGGAATATATCACAAAGCGGATGGCTTTAATAAACAGGAGTTTACTCTCTTACAGTTTTGGAAGCTAGAAGTCCGAGTTCAAAGTGCCAGGCTCTAGGGGCCCCTCAATCTTGGGTTTCAGCTTTGCCTCCTGCTGAAAGGCTTTTCTTCATTCAGGCAACTGCTAGCTGCTGAGGCTGACAAACCCAAGGTCAACAAGTAAAAAGGCACAGTCCTGATATTACCAAACAGCATGGCGGGACAGTAATTCAAATCCAGAAAAAGTCCCAAGATCGGCAGGGCAAGGCAGGCTGCTGAACAATGACTTGGCTACATGCAGGTTTCAAGTGTGCCAAAAAACTGGAGGCCTTCCTCAAACTTGCTTCTTATATACTGGGAGCAAATCACGTCCCTAAAGCAGCTACTCAGCTGCTCCAGTAGATTCTACCGTGGAGTTAATCACCAATCTCACCATGGGGGAAAGCTACATCCAGTGGCCCAGCCACTCAATCAGGCCCAGCCAAGTTGACATACAACCTTAACCACCACAGATAGCAAGATTAAAATAGTACCAGCCTCTTTTTCCTCAAGCCCTTCTTCTTTCTGGGATCATTTCTGGAAGGGTCAGAAACAGCATAAGTAAGGAGCTGGTCAGTAAGAAATCAATAACAACCCCCTCACCTACCAATGGCTTCCAGGCCAAATAAGTACCCAACTGAGATGGAGTTCTAAGTGGATAAAAATTGGAATGTTTTATTATTACACTGAACTATATAATTAAATTGCTGAAATGAGGCCGTTCTTGTGATTTAAGTGGGTGGGAACTCTATGAGACTCACTCAAGATTTGATCCCAGAGATGAAAAGAACTTGTTCCACACAATAAGTTTGAAGTGTTAGTGGCAGAAAAATAAAGTTTCTCCCTAGCTAGTCAGGTTGGTTCAATAAAATGACTGCATACATTTAATCTTTCTATTTGCTTTATTGCATTCCTATTTGTTTTTCTGGTTACTGCATTATTCTGAACGCAGTCTTTGAACATTTGGGACTGTGAAATTTTAATTTTGAACTTTTTCCTCCTCAAGCCCAATTCTGACTCATGGTGGCCCCATGTGCTGCAGAGTAGAACTTTGTTCCATGGGGTTTTCAATGCTGTGATCTTGTAGAAGCAGATCACTAGACCTTTCTTTCTAGGTTCCTCTGGGTGGGTTCAAACAGTGGTTAGTGGTTAGTAGTTGAATGTTTAACCATTTTCACCATCCAGGGACTCCTACACCCAGAATAAAAGAGTAATTCTGCTTAGCCTGGCTCTTTGCATAATTAAGAAACACAATTCTGTCCATTTCTATCCTGATGCAAAACCATGAGAGGATTTCTAAACCAATGCAGAAAAGGGCTGATAAGGAGTCAAATGGAGAAGATGAATAACCTTCTAATTTTTTTCAGAAATTGCTCTTTGCAGTATGGTTTTATGTCCACAAGAATTATAAATAGAGTACAATGTACAGATTTCTTCAAATATAAGTATTAGACCATAATATAATATAAATTTTTCACTGCTGTCGAGTTGGATCTGACCTCATAGTGACCCCTGTTTGGGTTTCCAAGGCAGTATCACTACAGAAGTAGATTGCCCAATCTTCCTTCTGAGGAGTGGCTGGTGGGTTTGAACCTCCAGGCTTCTGTTAGTAGGCAAATGCCTTAGGCACTTGTGGTGTAGTAAATTACCTGGTATGGCTTTTCTAGCCATAAGTCTTTGTAAACTCCACAGTGGAATTTGCTGTGAGCAACTCAGGAGCTCCTGGTTATAAAAGTTATCCACCTGGGGTATTTCTGTTGGGAGTGGCACAAAGCAATGTTCCAGGAAGTTCACTATCTTTCAGGTGCTTAGAATTCTGATGTTATGATTGGCTAGTTTGGCCACTCTGCCAGGCTCAAAAGGAGGCCTCTTAGGAGCAGAACTCTCTCTGACTGCTGGTTAAAAAGGATGTGCTGCTGAGAGAAACATGCTCCCAAGAGAAATATGCTCCTGAGAGGCATGCACTCCTGAGAGAACTGCGCTCCTGAGAGACATGCGCTGCTGGGAAAGAGATGTAAGAGACACATGGGCTGAGAGAGACACCGAGGGACATGCACTGCTGGGAGAGAGACTGTGAGAAACTGTTGGCTGAGAGATGGCAGGCTGAGACAGACTAAACATTTTTCCTGAACTTGAATTGTAGCCTGGTGCTTCCCTAAAAACCCCATAGTCTGTGAGTTCTGTGTGGCCACTGCAGTGAAAGTGAATTATCGAACACAGCAGAAAGGTGGTGAGTGGTGCAGGAGGAACAGTTGGTGTCAGGGTTGGTGAAAGGGCTGGAGGGAGGCAGCATGTCTGGCCTTGCAGGAATAGGCCTTGGGCTATTGATGGTGATTCTGTTTTCCTCTTGTGCTGTTAGAGGAGGTCAAGAGATATGGCCTCCTTGCCTCTTTAGCAGCACTACATCACCAGAGCTTATTCTCTTTAATATTACTGCCATTTTTCTCATTAAAATAAATTGACTATTAACAGATCCTCTGGTCTTTATCTTTCTTATCTGGCAAAGATTCCTTTATTGCTTTCACATTTAGGCAAAACAAGAATGAGGAAGGGTAATATATGAGTTTAATAAACATCCACCATAAATCAAGGTCAAAATCTGTAATTAATGTTGAGAGGTGATATACTGTATAGTGTTTCCAAATTCAATGAATGAATTAAAAAAATTAGTCATTTATATTTAGGGTAGGAAATGACTTCTATTTCCTTATAAAAAGTGAGACCTCTATTTCAACTTTATAAATTCAAATTTTCCTTTTAAAAATGTTCTGACTATACTGACCTTTGCATATGAAATGTGGATTTTCCTAGTCATTGGGCTGGGTTTCCCTTAGCATTTCTATCTTTCTGTCCCTTTTGACAAGGTAATCATTTGTGAACTATCTAGTTAGGGTGAGGGGTATGTTTTATGTGAAGGACATGTTTTTTTCCTTTGCAATCAACATATCTGAGAGCAAAATCCATAAGCCAAGCTTCAGTCTTAAAAAAATGGAATTGAAATTTACCACCTAGCTAACTCCTACTTATTCTGTAAGAGGTAGCTTAAGTGTCAGCTTCCCCAGGAAGTTTATATGAGAACCCCACCTTCCACCCCAATGCCATGTTTGGTGCCTGTCTGTTATGTCTTCATTGTGGCCAGTACATTGTGCCTTTACTATGTTAAAATGAATTATCTGTATGTGGGTCTGTCTGCAGTACTAGACTGTGAGCTCATTGAGAAGAGGACCCACACCAAATATTATTCATTTTTTAATACCTCAGTACTTAAAATGCCTTCAGTATTTATTTGCTAAACTGAACTATAGTGTGTATAATTTAGTACTATGTTCAAAGTCCAAAGCCAGTCCTGATAAATGAAGCTGGTGTCAAGGGGGCAGAGTAGGATGTCTACAATGAAGCAGCTGGTCATTTAGGTCTCTCAGAAGAGAAGCCTCACTTAAACCAAACCCTACTCGAACTCCACTCAAAGAAATGGGACATGTACACACCACTGATTAGGAAAAGGATTGAAATAGGTAATTTATGAATGATGAACTTCTTTAGCAAAATACAAAGGAGTACTGAGACCTCTTGAAAAAGAGCATTCTTTTCCTTTCACATACACATATCTTGAAGCACTGTGGTTACCAAGTTCCATAAGGTCAATTTGTGACTGTCATTGTTTGCTGCCTCAGCATCAATTACTTCCTACAAGTTGCTCTTTCACCTAGTTTCTGACATGGCCATTCCTGTCTTGTTACATAGTCTCTTAATAGCTGTAGTCTTTAACTAGTGCTCTCAATCATGCTCCATATGATTTCCCATGATAGAGACCTCATTGCTATTTTGTAATTCAGTCTCTCAATGGTCGTAGTCATTCCTTGCCCCTCATGGCCATGCCCTATATGGATGCTCATGATTAAAATTTCTCTCTTTCTATGCACTAATTCGTTAAAAACTTAAACTGACCGATAAGACCAGCACACACTAACTCTGAGACTCCACTCTAAATATTATACATTAGCTTTCTCTTACAAGTCCAACTTATTGTTTACTTGTCCCTGGGTGCAACATCCTTGACTCTGCATTTAGTTGTGGTTTAGTCTCCACTCTGGATTCATAAGCATTAAATTTGATTGGGTTTTCTGGACTGCCTATATGAGTGCTGCACCTAACAGACTATCCAAGACACCCATAGACCCCCTTTGTGTCAGACATGAAACTTAATACACAAGATACCAGAAGAAAGAATTAAGCAAAATTGGAGGAGAAGACTGTGCTGAAATGTTTAGGGAGGTAGATCTTACCAGATGATGGAAGACTCATCTCCCAGGATGTCCCTGATTTCTTCTCGGCATCTCTGTTGGTGTTCAGAGTTCAGAGCCAGGCAGTAGAGTAGCCAGGAGATGCTCCCTGCTGTGGTGTCATGCCCTGCCAATATGAATGTGTTCACCTCAGACCACAGGTCAGTATCTGAGAAGCTGTCTTCATTTTCAGCCTAGAAATTACAGTAGAGATATTTTTATGCAATGTCTGTTTATAGATGTTTACAGCCTCAACCAAAATATTGATCTTAAAGAAAAAAGAAAGATTTTAAAATAGAAGTGTCAACTTTAATTCAGTTAAAGAAATATATTGTATGAGACACAACTATGCCCAGGCATAAAGGAGATGTTGATTAGATAAGAAAAGTAGACCTTGCAAAGAGTTTCCTCAAATCACCAGGCCTTAAAAAAATCTCTTCAATCCCCTTGCTTTATCCAGATTTTTCAGTGCTTCATCCCCATCATTTTACCAGCTTATACTGTCATCTACTTTTCTGTGTTTCTGTGAACTATCATGACATGCCAAATCCTGTCAAATTAATAAAAACTTAGTCTTTTACCCGACTCTCAATAGTGACAGCACCATAGAATTCCGTCTTTCCCCAAAACTACATGGAACCAACTCATAAATTCAAATTATTGTCATATTTAGTCAATCAATTTTGTTGCATCTCCCCACCACACCACTATGCATCCCCCCACCTACATAATTAATTAGCTATTTGAATAAGCTCAGAAATTTGGGAGATTTACCTGGGCAGAAAGGATAATATCCAGAAAATCTTGGTACTTCCTCCTCTGAGTATCATCCTGCTTCCTCTCATCTTGGAGGGATTTCTTTCTGTCTTGGACTATCTTTTCTGGGACACAATAATAGTTCTCCATCACCAGAGTGACAGCAAAGTCAATCAAAGTCAAATAAATTGCAACTCATGGCTCATATAATTCAGATTTTGCCTAATTTCCTGAGGTCAAAGTAGGTACATTATATTTAAATAGACTTATTTTTTATAGATATTTATTTTCTCATCAAATGGACACCGGATCAAATCTCTAAACATACAAACACAGTAGATCAAAAATATACTTTATATCACTAAACCCATTACCAATGAGTTGATTCTGACTCATAGCAAACCTATAGGACAGAGTAGAACTTCGCCATAGGTTTTCAAGGCTTTTATCTTTTTATGGAAGCAGACTGCAACATCTTTCTCCCAAGTGTTTAACCACTGCACCACCAGGGCTCCTTTGTTTATTTTATTATGTAATCAATATAATGAAGATGATTTCAGATTCAGATGCAATTGACCAATAATTCTTTTCTTCTTTCATCTAAATACTTTATTTTAATGGAAAAGTTATCAAATAAAATGGAAAACAGGCAAAGAAATTTTAACATACGTATAATTGAAGGCCCTGCAATAAAACACAGAACAAAAATATGAATTGGAGCTAGTATTTAAAATCATAACCCAAGAATACTATCTAGAAATAAGAAAACACTTAAATATACATATTGAAAGGGCCTACCCTATGCCTGGAAAAATTGAAGCAGAATGATCAACTTTAATATATACCTTAGTAAAAGTATTAAACATTAAAGACAGTGAAAAAAATTCTCAGAGATGCCAAGTAAAATGACAAAATAACATTCAAGGGCAAGAAAATTAGGCTATTATAATAATTCTCAAGAACAATAAGAAAATCATAGTAAGTAGAGCATTTTAAAGAAACTCAAGGAAAGATATGTGGGCTAAAAATTTTATCGTCAGCTAAATGGTCCTTCAAGGACCAATTTACAACACAATTTTAAAGTTATACAACACAATTTGAAACTTGCAAGAACTGTGTTCATGAGCCCTTCCTGAGAAATCTGTAGAGAATGACCTTCATCTTACCAAGAGATTACTAGGAAAACTACATAAAAGAACTGAAGAGGGCATTCAACAGATTTAATTTTAGATTGAAGAACAGAGATCTGGTTGAAGAATAATACATAAATATTAAAAATGAAAATAATGCAACTCAAAATACAAAGAGAGGAAAAAATAAGAAAGTAGAATAAGATCACTGATAATTATATAGGTAATACATGGTGTTTTGGTTACCTCTGTGCTGCTCTAACAGAAAATACCACAAATGGGATGGCTTTAACAAACAAGAGTTTATTCTCTTACAGTTTGGAGGCTTTAAGTCCGAGTTCAAAGTGCCAGGCTCTAGGGGCTGGGTGAAACCCCTTAACCTTGGGCTTCAGCTCTGCCTCTTGCTCCTGGCCCACTGAAACTGGAAGCTTTTCTTCATTCAGACAGCTGCTGGCTTCTGAGGCTGACAAACTCAAGGTTGACAAGTAAAAAGACACAGTTCCAATGTTTCCAAACAACACAGAAGGCCACTAATTCAAGTCCAGAAGAAGTCCCAAGATCGGCAGGGCATGGCAGGCTGCTGAACAATGACTTGGCTACATGCAGGGTTCAAGCCTGCCAAAAAGCTGGAGACCTTCCTCAAGGTTGCTTCTTATATTCTGGAAGCAGACCACATTCCTAAAGCAGCTACTCAGCTGCTCCAGTAGATTCCTGCACAGAATTGATTGCCAATCTCACTATGTGCAATAACTACATCCAGCTGCCTGGCCACTCAATCAGGCCCAGCCAAGGTGACAACAATCTTAACTACCACAAATGGAAATCAAAGGACATAACTTAAAACGGACATGGCAGTAATATGTCAAGTAAGGAAAAGAGAGTTTAAGGATCCTACAAAAGGGCTGAATACTATGGTAACCACAGGGCAAAAATATAAACGTTCTTAACTAACAAAACATACTATACTGAAAAGAGCAAAGAAGGCATATCATATAAAGAAACAAGCACAGTATTGTAACATAATAATATGAAATCATTGAGACCAAAATCATCAGTCATTTCAATAAACAGGATGAGAATGTCTCAGTTATCAAAACAAAAAGATTTTTAAATTGACTCATATAGGAAAACCCAACCATATACTTCATGTAAGAGACATGACTAAAACAAAGTGTTTCAAAATGGCTAAAAATAAAGAAATGGGCAAAGTTAGAGTGGGAAATGGAAATGATAAAAAAAAGCAAGGATTGCAAACTTTATATCAGAAAAAGTAGAATTTGAGCAAAACAGCACCTCAGAAACCCAAGGAGAGGTGACTATGAGTTGGGTCCAACTCGACAGCACATAACATAAGGCAAACAAGGTCACTTTTTAATGATAAAAGTCACAATTACACAATATGTAATAGTTATGAATATATGCACATCAAAGTCACTGCCATCGAGTTGGATCTGACTCATGGTGACCCCTCCTTGGGTTTCCAAGGTGGCATCACTACAGATGCAGTTTGCCCGACCTTCCTTCTGAAGAACACAGCAGTATCCATTTAAAGCAAAATATATGGGAGGTGAAAGAATAAATAGGCATAATCACACTAAAGAGAAATCTTTAACATTCCACTCTCAGTAAAGACAGCTCAAGTGAACAAAAGTAAGGATATAAACAACAAAACAAACAAACAAACAAAAACCTTACTGCCGTCAAGTCAATTCAACTCATAGTGACTCCTCCTTGGGTTTCTGAGGTGGTGTCTCTATGAAAGTAGATTGCCCAATCTTCCTCCTGAGGAGTAGCTGGTGGGTTTGAACTGCCAGGCTTCTGTTTAGCAGTCAAATGCCTTAGGCACTATGCCACCAGAGCTCCCAGTAAGGATATAGAAGATCTAAATAAAATAATCAATAAGGTAGAGCATATGAGGAGAAAAATCAAGCACCATAGGGAATATACCTTCTTTTCAAGATCACACAGAACATTTATAAAAATCAATCATATATTAAAACAAAGAAAACATTAGTTAAGTTCTGTAAAATAGAAATATTGCAAACAATAACCACAAGGCAATGAAACTAGAAATTAAAAAATTCAAAATCTAAAAGCTCTTATACCTAGAAATTTATGCACTTTATATTAAACAATTCTTGAGTGAAAGGAAAAACTTAAACAGAGATTACAGGATTTCTGAGAAGATAATTGTAGTGCAGTGAATTACTTGGTATGGCTCTTCTAGCCATGGTCTCTGTGACTTCCACCAGATAACCGGTGGAACTATGCAAATGTAAGGTGCTTGTGTCCAAACAAGCAGATTGGACAGCTTGCTAATAATGTAAATAAGGTACATGGCACCTGTGTGAGGGTGGGACTGTGCAACTAAAGTATATGGAATTGGTCAGTTTTGCCATCTTGTTAGGCTTAAATCGAACCATCTCAGGCAGAAAAGGGGGATCTTACTATCATAAGGACAGAGAAGAGCTGGGAGTGGAGCCCATCCTTGGATTTGAGATCCCTGCACTGAGACAACTGTAAAGAGATTGCAGAGAGATTTCAGAGAGAGTAGAGAGATGGCAGAAGCAGCACCAGTAGTGGAGGCAGAACTGAGAGACTGCCATGAGACACAGTGGTGGGCTTGCCAGCCAACAGAGTGAGAAAGCTGAGTGTCTTTGGGCAGGAAACTTGCAGGTAGAGCAGGGTGCACCTTTCAGCAGAGCTAATAGAGCATTATAACACTTGCCCAAGCAGAGCAGAGGCAGAGGCTTGATAGAAGCATGCCTGCAGCAAGGCTAAGAAGAAGCTGTCCTGACTAAAGAACTGTATCCTGACTTGTTTCTCATCCTGAATTGTAACCTGTTACTTCCCTAATAAACCCCATAATTGTTGAGTATTTTCTGTGAATTCTGTGTGGCCATTGCAATGAATTATTGAACCCAGCCGAGAAGTAGAGAGTGCCGTGGGAAGGATGGTTGTTGGTGTCAGAATTGGTTAAAAGGTAAGAGGATGGTGGAATGTCTGACCTCTGTCTGATAGGAATCAGCATTGGGCTGATGTTGCTGATGGTGATTCTCTTTCTCCCTTGTGAAGTTAGAGGAGGTAAAAGGATGCTGCCCCATGCCTTCTCTTTTTTATTTTGCAATAATGATAATGAAAAGATTATTTATCAAAATATATTGGATATATTTAATCAGTGAGCAAGAGAAAATTCATAACCTTAAATACGTATTGCAATAGAAATGAAAGAATAAAAACAAACACATTAAACCCTAACTAAAGAGCTAGGGGAAAAAAAAATCAACAGCAACAACAAAATAAGCCAAAGGTAGAAAATAATAAAGAAAATACCAAAAATTAATAAGGTAAAGAAAAAAGGAACAGCAGTCTAAATCAGTAAATCAAAATTATGGTTCCTCAATAGTAGATAAAATACTAGTTAATTTAAACAAGGAATAAAAGGAACAAAGCACAAATATACAAAATAAGAAATGACACAGGAAAAATATTAATACAGAGAATTTTTTTTCAAAGTCAACTTCTATTCAAATAAATTTTAAGCATAAATGAAATGGATAATTTCCTAGGAAATTTTCCTAGGAAAATTTGATATACCAAAATTGGCTCCAGTAGAGATAGACTTAAACAGATAAATTTCAAATTTCCATGGAGGAAATTGAGAAAGTTATAAGGTAAATAAATAAATAAATAAGACACAAGATCTAGGTGGTATGACAGTCTACCAATCCTTTGAGATTACATAGTCCCAATGCTACATGAATTATTTCAGAGCCAAAACCAAAAATCAAACTCATTGCTGTGGAGTCGATCCTGACTCACAGCGACTCCTGCTTGGGTTTCTGAGGTGGTATTGCTATGATTTTCAGTAGCCTCATATGCATGTGAGAGCTAGACAATGAATAAAGAAGGCCACAGAAGTATTCATGCATTTGAGTTGTGGTGCTGGTGAAGAATATTGAATGTACCATGAACTGTTAGAAGGAACAAATCTGTCTTGGAGGAAGTACAGTTGGAATACTCCTTAGGAGTGAGAATGGCCAGACTTTGTCTCTTGCACTTCGGCCATGTTGTCAGAAGGGTCCAATTCCTGGAGAAGGATATCATACTTGGTAAAGCACAGGGTAAGCAAAAATGGGGAAGACCCTCAACAAGATGGACTGACACAGTGGCTCCAATGATGGACTCAAGCACGGTACTGATTGTGAGGATTCTTGTGCTGGACTGGGCATTGTTTCATTTTGTTGTACATAGGGTTGCTATGAATTGGAACTGACTCCATAGTACCTAACAACAACAAGAAGGAGGAGGAAATCATGACTCTTTTCAATGATGCAGCAAAAGCCTTTGACAAAATTCAACATCTATTCCTAAAGAAAATAGAAACGAATTGTGAGATAGATCCTCATAATAATGTCCTCAATAACTCATGTTTCCCTGTGTCCTAGCTCCTTTAAAATGTGATGTTTTCATTCTTCCCACCAGGAAGTAGAGTCTATTTCTCCACATCCTTGAAGGCTTATGACTTATTTAGAACAACAGAATGTAGTGTAAGTGATATTCTGAGACTTTTGGACCTAGGCTTTAAGAATTTCCTTGCTTGCCATCCCAGAGTTCTGAGCCATCATCTAAAGAAGTCCAGGCTATCTTGCTGGCAGTGGTGGTAGTGGTGGTGGGTGGCGAGGCACATGGAGAGGTCCTGGAAGATGAAAGACTATAAGACAAAAGGGAAATAACCCAGCAATCCAACCATCCCAGCTGAGGAGTGAAAAATGTGAGTGAGGCCGTCTTGAATTCTCCAGGCCTAATTGCGACCAAGTAAATCAGCCCAGCTAACACCATATGAAGCAGAAACTATTGTCCCAGCTGATCACTGTCCATCCAACTCACAGAGCTGTGAGCAAATAGATTTTTTTTTTTTTTAAACTGCTAGGCTTTGGGGGTAGTTTATTTTATTTTTCAGCAATAGTAACTCACACAATTAGATACTTCCTTGTTGTTGTTGTTGTTGCTATGTGCCATCAAGTTGGACCTGACTCATGGCAACCCCTCCTTGGGTTTCTGAGGCAGTATCACTATGAAAGTAGATTGCCCAATCTTCCTTCCGAGGAGTGGCTGGTGGGTTTGAACTGCCAGCCTCCTGGTTAGCAGTCAAGTGCCTTGGGTACTATGCTACCAGAGCTCCTAGATACTTCCTTAACATGACACTATATAAATCTGTCTATCATCCATCTAGGAGCTCTGGTGGTGTAGTGCCTAAAGCATTTGACTGCTAACCAGGAGGCTGGCAGTTCAAACCCACCAGCCCCTCCTCAGAAGGAAGGTTGGGGTCACTAGGAGATGGATCTGACTCAACAGCAGTGGGTTGGTTGTTGGTTGCTTATCATCCATTCATCCAACTATCTATCTATCTGCCAATCATCTATCTATACCTTAACATGAACCTACTGTCTTACTTAAATGGGGGAAATTCCAGGTATTTTCATGAAGGTTAACAACAGGCAGGGATGCCCACTATCTCCACTACTGCTTAACATTGTATTAGAGGTAATAGCCAATATAATTAGACAAGAGAAAAGCAATTAGAAGCATATGAATGAGAAAAGAAAAGTATCTCTATTTGCAGCTGATATGAAAGCATAACTGTAATACCTTACAGAATCAACAAGAGAAACAATAATTTGCTGTCCTGTTACCTTGCTGAAGGGAGCCCTGGTAGCACAGTGGTTAAATGCGTGAATGCTAACTAAAAGCTGGTGGTTTAAAACCACCAGTCACTATGTAGGAGAAAGATGTGGCAGTCTGAATCTGTATAGGTGTACAGCCTTAGAAACCCTCTTGAACAGTTCTACTCTGTCCTGTAGAGTCACTATGAGTCGGAATTGACTTGACGGCAAATGGGTTTGGTTTTGGTTTAGTACCTTGCTGAACTCTTTTACCATGCAAATATACAATAGTAACAACAACAACAAAAAGATGAAGTACATAGGAATAAACTTGTATAATAATGTACGATATTTACATGAAGAAATCAATTTAAAAAACAGAGTCAAAAATATACTTGAATATATGGAAAGATGACCTTTGTTCTTAGACAGGATATATCAGCATCATCAAGATGTCAGTTCTAGGTTAATCCATAAATTTAATGCATTACGGAAAAAAAAATACAAAAAAATTTTTATTTAGAGCTAGTTGATACTAAATTGATACTAAAGTTCATATGGAAAAATAAATGTGTAAAACAGTTAAGAAAAGAATGGAAGGGAAGAGCTCTGTAGTATATTAAAAATACTATAAAGTCTCTATAATCAAAGCATTGTGATTCTAGCACATGCAGGACAGACCAATGGAACAGAACAGAAAATTCAGAAATAGAGCCAAGTATGTATGTCAATTTAGAATACGATAAATATGGTATCTCAAATCACTGGAAAAGATGAGCTTTTTAATAAGTAATGATGATTCTGGATGTAGCATTCATGACAAAGAATGCTGAATTCCTGGAAAGCTTAATCTATTTCAATTTTTGCATTTATGTTTTGCTTTATCTATTTATTTTTGAACTAAGCTCCTTTTGAAATTCATGATTATGCTTATTCTATCCCTCTATTCATTCCTATGTTGTCATTATTACTTCAATCACTGTGCAAAAAGTCATATCCCAGGTATGTTTTGAAATCTTAAATGGCTACTAATAATAACTGTACATAATAAAAATTGCATAATACATAGAAAAGTTCTGATAAGGTCAGCTACTACTGTGGATGTAGCAACCTCTTCCTAAGGATTCAAATTGTCTTTCATTTGAGCAGTGTCCATATAAAACTTGATTAAGAACAATAATTATTCCCCTTTTCACATTGACTCTAACCCTCTACATAGACACACTATGATCATGATTGTATGGACTTGGGCAACCCAAATCTGAAAAATACCTGTATACTGATGTAGCACTTGGCTTAACTCCTGGATGCGGTGACTTTCAGGGCTGAAATTGAAAATTATGTCACAGTGATCCAAGAAATTGTACATGCGATAAAAGATGATTTTGTTGAGTTCAAACATTGCTTTTACATAAGGGTCACTGGTGCTAGAAGAGAAAGTTGAGACAATGTATTAATAAGTGACCTAAATAATGCTTCATAAGTATCTTATTTACTCCTGTCACTGACCCATTTATCTGGCAGTTGGTCTCCTGGGTGAAAGCACATTTCAAGAGTATGTCCAGGGTCATCAAGTTGATGTGTTCAAAGACCTCCACAGTTGTGTGCTGAGTGACTAACATCTTCTCCCACTTATCCTGGTACAGGAAATCAAGATCAGCATCATCACCATCATCTAACTGCCTTTATTTGACAGTTGCTCCATGTCCCCTTGATAGCACCTAACAACAACCATGTCCCCTGCCCTTATGCTCTAAAGAAGACAACCCTGCCCCAGTAGGAACCAGAAGTCATATAAGTAAATAAGTCAAATGCTTACTTTGGGCGTGAGGCAGGGGAAAAAATACCGAGCTGGGTGGGAAAGAGCATGGAGGAAACAGCCTCTCTGGTAAATGGCTGAGTTAAGGATCTGTGGCCTTTCAACGATTACCATAACTCTGCTTTAAAACAGTCAATTAAAACAGATAATCTGATACAAGATCCATAATTATAAGGATTCTCTCCAGGGTTTCTTCTAGCTTCAGTTCCCAAACTGTAGAAACAATTACTATATTCAACCACCAAAATCACAATAAAAATAAAAATAATTTTGGAACTTTTCAAAGACATTTTTGGATTCAGAAATGGAGGACAGAGAGAAGCTGTGAACAGGAGGAGCAACCTGCAGGGAGTTGGATCTCAGCCAAGCTATTGCCTGTACCTATTCTAAATAATATTAAAAAAATCTAGTTACCATCAAGTCAGTTCTGATTCTTGTTGACCTCATGTGTTCTATAGGGTTTTCAACTGCTGATTTTTCAGAGTAGATCACCAGATCTTTCTTCCATGGAGCCTCTGGGTGGATTTGAACCACCAATCTTTCAGTTAGTAGTCAAGCACTTAACCATTTGTGCCACCCTGGGACTTCTGTGCCCATTCTACCTGTTATTGTTGTCTGATGCCATCAAGTTGGTTCTGAGTCATAGCAATCCTATGTACAACAGAATGAAACACTGCCTGGTCCTGTGCCATCCTCACAATCATTGCTATGTTTGAGCCCATTGTTGCTGCCACTGTGTCAATCCATCTCGTTGATTTTTTTTTTTCTTTTCCACTGACCCTCTATTTTACTAAATATGATATCCTTCTCCAGAGACTGGTCTTTCCTGATAACATATCCAAAGCACATAAGATGAAGTGTCACCATCCTCGCTCCCAAGGAGCATTCTGGCTGTACTTTTTGCCCAAGAGAAGTTTGTTCATTCTTCTAGCAGTCTACAGTGTATTCGATACTCTTGGCCAACAGCATAATTCAAAGGAATTAATTCTTCTTCAGTCTTCCCTATTCGTTGTCTAGCTTTCACATACATATGAGGTGATTGAAAATACCATGGCTTGTGTCAGGTGTACCTTCTCCTCAAAGTGACATTCTTCCTTTTCAGCATTTAAAAGAGGTTTTTTGCAGCACATTTGTCCAATGCAACACGTCATTTGATTTCTTGACTGCTGCTTCAATGGTTGTTGATTGTGGATCAAAGTAAAATTAAATCGTTGATAACATCAATATTTTCTCCATTTATCATACTGACGGCTGCAGTCTTTAATCTTAATCAGTAAATGCTTCAAGTCCTTTTCACTTTCAGCAAGCAAGGTTGTGTCATTTGCATATCACAGATTGTTAATGAGTCTTCCTCCAACCCTGATGCCATGTTCTCAGTCATACAGTCCAGTTTCTAGGATTATTTGCTCAGCATACAGATTGAATAAGTATGTTGAAAGGATATAACCCTGACACACACCTTTCCTGATTTCAAACTGCAGTATCCCCTTGTTCTGTGCAAATAACTACCTCTTGGTCTATGTACGGGTTTCTCATAAGTACAATTAAATGTTCTAGAATACTCATCCCTCACAATGTTATCCATAATTTATGATATACACAGTCAAATGCGAATGCCTCTGCATTGTTAGTGAAACAGAGGAAAACATCTTTTTGGTATTCTTTGCTTTGAGACAAGATCTATCTGACATTAGCAACGATATCCCTCATCCCATATCCTTTTCTGACTCCAGCTTGAATTTCTGTCAGTTCTCTGTCAATATACTGCTGCAACCATTTTTGAGTTATCTTCAGCAAAATTTTATTTGTGTGTGATATTAATGATATTGTTTGATAGTTTCTGGATTCTGTTGGATCACATTTCTTTGGAATGGGCAAAATATAGATCTTGATTCCAGCTGATTAGCTAGGTCTTCCAAATTTCTTGGCACAAATGAGTAAGTGCCTCCAGCACTGCATCCATTTGTTGAAACATCTCAATGGGTAGTCTGTCGATTCCTGGAGCTTATTTTTTCACCAATTCCTTCAGTGCAGCTTGGACTTCTTCCTTCAACACCATTGGTCCTTCATCCTATGCTATTTCCTGAAATGGCTGAATGTTGACCAATTATTTTTTGATACAGGGACTGTGTATTCCTTCCATCTTCTTTTGATGCTTCCTGCACCATGCAATATTTTGCCCATAGAGTCCTTCAGTAGTGCAATTTGAGGTTTGAATTTTTTTCTTCAGTTCTTTCAGCTTGAGAAATGTCAAGCTGCTCTTCTCTACTGGTTTTCCAATTTCAGGTCTTATAGATGTCATTATAATACTTTACTCTCTCTTCTCGAGCCACCCTTTAGAATCTCATATGCAAGCTCAAGTTGAAGCTGAAGAAAATTGAAACAAGTCCACAAGAGCCAAAATACAACCTAGAGTATATTTTACCTGAATTTAGAGACCATCTCAAGAACAGATTTGACACAATAAACACTAATGACCAAAGACCAGACAAGTTGTGGGATGACATTAAGGACATCATATGAAGAAAGTAAAATGTAATTAAAAGACAGGAAAGACAGGAAAAAACAAAATGGACATTAGAAGATATTCTGAAATTTCCTCTTGAATATAGAGTGTTGTTGTTGTTGTTGTTATTTGCCATCGAGTCGGCCCCGACTCATAGCGACCCCTCCTTGGGTTTCCGAGGCAGTATCACTACGGAAGTAGGATTGCCCAGCCTTCCTTCCGAGTGAATATAGAGTAGCTAAAGTTAATGGAGGCAATGATAAAGTAAAGAAGCTGAAAAGAAGGTTTCAAAGAGGGGCTTAAGAAGACAAAGTAAAGTATTAGGGTGAAATGTGTAAAGCCCATTTTACCTACCTACAAAAAGAGACCCATTCACATTGCCTGAAATATCTGGCTTGACTTTGTTAAATTGACACAAAGTCCCCAGTAAATGTAGTGGTTGTAACAAGCATTCACTGTGTAAAAATACAAATAAATCAAAACGTTTATGGTCATTTCAACCTATATTTGTTGAGCATTTAAAGGCCTTATGTTAAGTACTAGGGACTCAGAGACCCTGGATAAAAAGCAGAGATTTTTTTAAAATATCACCTAAGTGTTAATTGTTTAATCAGGTAACATTCACCCTGAATTAGGTAAATTTTGTTGTTGTTGTTATGTGCCATCGAGTGGGACTGACTCGTGTATTTTTAGTAAATAAAAATGGTGACTTTAGACTATGGCCCTGGTATACACTTCAGGCCTGGGATAAAACTCACTCCCAAGGGCTGGCTCTCAGCTCAACAGTAATAAGACTTACATGCAGAACACTCAACCCAGGGTAATGCACCCACCTACTCTACTGAGATACATTCCTTGGAACACTTGGCCATGATGCACCAGACAGGCAACATTCACATGGAGGAAAAGCTGGACAGTGCATAACTAAGAAGGGCACAGGGATGGAAGGGGTCACTGGGAAGGGAGAAGAGGAGAGTGGGTTAGGATTGGGAATGGTAATTGGGGAGTGAAACCAAATGTATACAGACTGTGAATGTAAAACAAATTCTTCTCTGTAAATTTGCACCTAAAGCACAATATTAAAAAAAAAAAAATTAAGAAAGAAAAGAAGGTAAAATTTAAAAAGACAAAAAAAAAAATGGTGAGTTTAGAAGAAATGAGAGCAAAGGACAGGCTTTAAAGAGTGAGGCACTTGAGAACAACTCAGCAGATGCAGAAATTGTCAAAGGGATCTCAGGGAAATGAGGAAGGCAGAATGGGGCATAGAAATTCAAATACAACCACTGACTACTGTAAAATTGTGCTTGAGGCTGAACAGCGTGAGAATAGGAAGAGAATGCTCTCCT